AGGGGCTGGTGGCGGCGTCGGAGGGGCAGGTCGAGGCGGCGAGTCAGAGGAGGAGAGGGCAGGCGCAGAACTATGATGTAAGTGTGGTTTTATTATCATTTATTTATTTTTATTTATTGTGTGTGTGTGTGTGTGTGTGTGTGTGTGTGTGTGTGTGTGTGTGTGTGTGTGTGTGTGTGTGTGTGTGTGTGTGTGTGTGTGTGTGTGTGTGTATTTCTTTTGTGGTGTGCTTGTGAGAGGTGAATGTGTATTGGACGAAACTCAATAGTGCTATAAACTATTTAGAGTCATGGCATTAGTTGTGTCGAATATGTAGACATAAGAACTCTTCTGAGAAGTTATTTGCCGATAAATCCAATTTCCTTTGTTTTAGAAAACTTCACAGTGAGGGAAATAATACCAATACCATTCCATCCAAGTAAAAAAAAAATATATATATATATCTCGCTCACCAGGTGGAAGCCTTCCACGCGGAGCCTCCTTTGGCACTGCCGAACAGGGACATCGTCGGCCACAGCGGTTCACCTCAAGACGGCGGCCACGAGGCAGCCCCGGAAACCCACGGAGCCACGCATGAATTCCTCTCCGATTCCTCCACGGCGTATTCGCACGAGTACCCGAACCAAGCGACGGAAATCGTTTCGGTACGTTTTCGTCCTTTCTCCTAAGCAAGGGGTGGCTCTTTGGGTGTTTTCCTACTGGCGAAAAGCTAAGAAATGAAGCTTGTCTGATGTGTGACTAGTAGTAGCGTATTTAGGTGTGATTATTCTCAAAATAGCTAAGAAAAAAAAGAAAGAAAAAGCATTGATTTTTCTGACGTCTCTGAAATACACTTTCAGCTGGATCCTACATGGACGATTGAAGTTCTTGGAGTCCATCTGGGTCCCTTGGCCGAGGTCTCTGTGGGATGGAGTCCACGGGGTTCGGGGGGTGTCGAGTACCTTGTGTCTTGGGTCGAGGAGTCTGGCTCGGTCTCAGGTCACCTTCTCACGGACCAGGTCACGAGCGAACTCTCTCTGTGGCCGGGGCAGGCATATTACATACAGGTAGGCTTTGTTTTATTTGCTGCTTGTTTCAGTCATATTCAGTTGATGTTGTTTAGATATATGTAATATTTTCCTTTATATTTCAAACTTATTTTTAATCATCTAACCTTTCACTCGAACAGGTAGAGTTGATTGACAGCCAAGGAAACCCAGTTCTAAGAAGTCTCGCCACACCAGTCAGGTTTGCCAAGACTTCGACCGAGGCAGATGAAGAACATACAGAGACAATTGCTGAAGCAGAACGCCCTTATTTGCCCACGACGGACGTGACCATGTTGACCCACACCGCTCCCGCTGAAGTTCGAGTTTGGGAGCCTTCTACGGAAGAAATAGATCGACTCACCGCTACCGCTGGGCTTCGAACTCGAAGTTCTACAGAAACCACAGACTGGGCCACTGAAATGAATGCAGATCCTACAGAAGTTCAGTATGTTCAGGACACGAACCTCATACACCGGCATGTAGAATTGCTTAACAATCATCAAAACGTGTCCTCAGAGGAAAAAGATGAGTACATAAGCCAGATCCTGCAAGAGAGGACCTACGAAATCGTGGATACGCGCACAAGCACCGACTTCGCGCAACGGGAGGAGGAGCTTTTACCCGAAGTCTCGGCCAAGGAGATTCAGACCGACGCCGCCACCGACCGCGTATCGGAAATCCTGATCTGGTGCGCCGGGGTGGGCATCGGCATGCTGCTCGTCCTCACCTTGTGCAGTATGGTCATCTGGCTCTTGGGTAGATGTCGTCGAGGAGGCCCCAGGAACGAAGAATGCCTCGAGGAAGGACTCAGCAGTTTGAGGAGCTCCTTCAGGACGGGCGGTGCCAAGCAGAACCAAAGAAATCCAACGACCTCGTGGACATTCGAGAACTTTTGCTCCACAGAGAGAAAGCCGAACCTGGTCAATGGCAGAAAGGAGGCCGTGCCGTCCGGAATAGACAATGCTTCTCTAGTTGAAAATTACGTCATAATGTTAGAGTCGCCTGCGAGTGGGAGTGAAGCAAATCGCTAGTCACTGTTTGCGTTCGTACATTTGTTAAAACTATAAATATGTATATGTGTATGTATTTAGAAATATGATGGCTGCATATGGTACCTGCTTTACAGACTTGAAATGTCTCCCATCCCAAAATAGTATATTTGTTATTTTTTATGCTTATCTTGAAACTTGTGAACCATGGATTGCATTCAGCGTATTTCATGTATTATACTAGAAAGCAGATACGGTATCCATATCGAAAGGTTTACCCCCATTTTTTTTTTTTTTTTTTTTTTTTTTTTTTTTTTTTTTTTATTATTATTATTATTATTATTATTATTATTATTATTATTATTATTATTATTATTATTATTATTATTATTATTATTATTATTATTATTATTATTATTATTATTATTCAATCGCCACTGCCACAGGACATGAATTCGAGGTCTGAACGCAATATTAAATGATGGCATTTTTGTGATGTTAAATTGTTATTTGAGATGATCTTATATTTTTACAATATTATTTGATAACTATATTTCAAAACGCCTAGCATATGAATTGAAGAAACTGCTACGGAAAAAAAAAACTCTAGCAACTACAGTCAAGGCCACAAGTCACCAAGCCCAGTTAGCTTTCATTGCAACTTTGCTTCTTATCCAGCAATGTGGGGAGTCTTGGGTAAGGTCACATTTCACACTAAATTTTGAAGCAATTTCCACTAGCGAATGACAGCTGGAAATTTTGAGTTTTTTAATGTATTTAAGGCAATTTTGATTTTGGAAAGACATTTAAAGGTGATGAATTGTCTTAACTAAAATTTTAAGTCGTAGATTAAAAAATCATTACTTGCATTATTAACACTAACTGTAATTACTTGAATAGAACTGAAATATGATCACAAGACTGCAATTATGTGATTTTCATCGCGACGTATGAATAAGTCATTTTCTTTACCAAAGACTTTGTATTTAAAATATGTATATATTATGTTTAAGTATGCTGTATACTGTAAAGTTATATCAAATTAATATGTTTGGCTTACAATGTTCTTTTAAATATGAAGCTTGATTTGAGCTGCTTATTTTCAGTAACTTTTAAAACTCGATATATATACCAGTTACATTTCAGTCATATGCTGTTCACAGAAAACGTAGTTGTTTTACACATGAACTTAGTTATTCCTAATGTTAAACTGCTATCATAAAGGACACAAGAAATGTAACACCCCAATTATATAATTTAACCTATAATAGGTCCTCGAATGCAATGGAGAGGCCGTTTCATATATTCATGGGCTGTGAATGCATTTTATTTTAAGCCCAAAACATGTTTACAGTTCAGTTCCTTATGAGGTTTAGACACAAGGACGAAAATTAATATTACTTTTCTGTAACACTCATATCTTCTCTTTTTTTTTATTAGAACGTGAATGGCTTCCTGATTCACCCTCAAAATCATCAATCCTAGAGAGAGAACAACTTACTCATGTCAGTGATACATTCTAAGACCATTATCAAACACTGAAAAAATGTATTTATATTCTTCCTTGAGTCATTCCTGTGCTTGCCTTGGTCTCAGGGCCTTGTGTACATATCTTATTAAAAAGTTGATTTGATAGTTTACTGTTGTTGTCATGTATATAAATAAACATATTTTCAAATGTTGCCTAAAATTGATTTTTTTTTCTTTTCCCTTTACTGGCTATTAGGGATTGAAATTATGAAAAGGATTAGGAAAATATGGAAATTATAATTTACCTTCCTTCACTGCCACATATTTTTCTATGTTTCTATATCAGAGTATGTAATATTGTTATCCACTCTCAATTTTTCATTTTAATATTTTGTTACACTTCTTCCTCTAAGCGATTTCTTAAACCTTTTCATGCACAAGTTTGGAAGGAATCTACAACAAAGATAGCTGGAGCTATGATGAATTTAAACTAACAAAGCAAGAATATTTGTACTTTAAGTAGTTTAAAACAATGCAGGCAAAATCCTTCCATAGCATTACTGTTTTACTTTTTCCATGAAAGCAATCTTGTCTATAACTCCATGCTGTTTAAATCTTATTTAAAACACCTGTAGAAATTCTAGCTATCTCTGCACAAGATTAATGCAAGAACTTATTCTTTTTTCCCTATTCAATGTGGAAAACTTGGAGAACTTGAAATAAAGTTAAATATAACTTGTACAGCCTGATTTCACATTATTTCACATTATAAAATAATAATTTGTGAGATGACTATATTCCTATTAACTACCAAAACTAACTACTGAAAATAAGATTCTTAATGACAGTGGTCCCATCCAAAATTTCTGAAAACAATAACCTACACTCTGCAGTAAAAATAGAATAAAAATATGCTTTAACTCTATTCTGGCTAAGCTTTTAGTGATGAATATGTGTTCCTGAATAAGTAGACTATATTCTCAAAGAAAAAGGAGCCTACTTTCACTTGAAGTCCAAATTCTATATTAAAATATATAGGATTTCTGGATTTTTCTCACAAAACCCTCACAAAGAATGTAAGGTAATATATTAAAACAAGAATCGTGAAGAAGAGGCAGACTCAATAGTCATCTTCAGAAAAGAAACAAGCTCAGTAAAAAACACCAGTTGTACAAGACAAATTTCTTTACAATTATTCTATAAACAAGAAATTCCAAGAGGAGTACATATTTTGACATAATTAGAATAAAGGTTACTGAAACACAAACTATTACTAATTTACTTATATTTACCATGCCTAAATACAAAGATATGACTCACTGATGTCATAAAAAAGAGAGAAAAAAAAGAACTAAAATATCAATTAAATATCATTTAAGACTTTTTTACAATCCAAAACACATTTATAATAACTGTAACTGTAATATAATTTTTGTTGTACTTTGTATTTCAGCCACATTAACATATGAATAAAAAAAATCCAGGCAAGTTTTAATGTCGTTTCTGGAATTGTCACATACACATTCATTCATTTCCACTTTACAGCAAGAGTCAGTCTAAAAAAAAAATAGTTGTCTTTGTTTTTGCGTCACCTCTTTACGGACATTTTCTGTCCACCTGTGACTTGCCCGACTCCTCATACTCCTGCTTGCTCACCCACATCTGCTGGAAGGAGCCTAGGGAGGCCAGGATGGAACCTCCAATCCATGAGCCAAACCTCCTCTCTGTTGAGCCTGTTGCCGAGATCAGCTTAAACCTCATGTTTGGTGGTGTTCGACTGGACAGGTCACGGTTCAGGCGCTCCACAAAGCCATTAAGAAGAGAGTTCCCGCCTGTTACTATGACCCCAGAATAAAGACTGGGACGGAGGTCGATATCACACAGGCCTATGCTGGTGGATACAACGTGTGACATTCCCAGCATAGTTGAGCCCACACCCTTGATGTAACTGGGGTCAAACAGGCTCTCTGTGATCCGGTAGCGCTCTGTGCCATACTCCTGGAAGAGAGGGAGAGTGTAAGTGCAAGGGACAGACAGGGTGCATTGGAATTGATTATAGTCTATTAAATACTGCATACCTTAGTACCTATCATTGTAATAATATACTCTTTAGCTCCTAAAGTCCTAAAGATTGTGGCCTGCTGACTTTGTGGAGTCCACTAACATAGCTGATAATCTGCCAAGTTTCCTCCTGCTATACCTACTTTATCATCCCTATACACCCATTCCCCTTGTAGTTTCTCTTCTCCCTGAGCTAATCACATAGTCATGATCCCTGTATCTTTCTTCAAATGAATAAAATATAGTGAGAATTAAGTAGTAATTCTGGTGCTGTTTAGCATTTTATCTAGCCAACTCCCCTCTATCCTCAAAGACAAAAATTTGCCTCAGTGAACCATGAAAGACCATGCCCTCTTTTATTTGGGGGACTAAAAAAGCTGGCTCTTAGAGGTTGAGATCATAACCAAGATGGCATACTGCCAGAGTAAAATGAATATACATAACTGAAAGATAAATTTTTGACTGGTTTCATATCTTAAAATACCCCTAAATACATATCTAACTAAAATCACTGCTTAATTAAAGCAGTTACAAATCTTTTTGAAACATTTTTGAAAATCGCAAACAATAATTCAGACATATCCTATTGTAAGATTTGAAGTAGGTAATTTTGACCAAAAAAATCTGGATCTATGCAGGAAAGAGGTAGTTATATGAATATACATAATCAGTAAATGGTACTGATAACACAATAAGATACAATCTTAAAAATTGAAAGACGTGGCTTGCCGTACACAAATAATCCAATCTCAAATCTAAATAGTGTCTCATTCTATCATTTGTTCCACACACCAAAACTAGTCCCATTCTAGCTACATCTACCCAGGAAGTTATCTGGAACGATGGATATAATAATCTAAACCTATTATGCAATGCCTAAACCACTGATCTGGACAAAATATGCTGCTAAATTAGATCAGCTGTATGTGATATCTCACAGTGCTAGCCTACTAATTTGAGTCACTGGTTGCCATGCAGCTCCAAGCCTGTAGGCTCATTTACAAACATATGAAAAAATAAGAGTATTTATCCATCTTTTGCAGGCTATATTTTTCTGTAAGCAGGCTAAAATCTTGATACAAGATTACAAGAGATTATGAAAGATGATACATAAATTCACAGGTCTTATGCTTAAATAACTAATTTGCAAATTTCTGACTTGTAAGTAACAATGTATATCTAGCCATTTCCTGTAATAATAACAATAATAATAATAATAATAATAATAATAATAATAATAATAATAATAAAAAAAAGCCCAGCATAAAAGGACAAGAAAAAAAAAGATGTAACAAACTGCTAACCATATTATAACCAGTAGGAAACTCATAGGGCTCTGTGGGGATGCTGTTGATGGCATCTTCCTCGTAGGGTGACTCGGAGCAGTGGAGCATTGTCTGCTGAAAATCTCTGACCACCTCTCGCTTCATGTAGTTGTGCCAGGATGTGGTGACCTCACACAAGTTGCTTTTCTTTGTCCACTTGGGTCGGTCACCTTCCTTCACCACCTGTTTGTCTGTAATCATGTATGGTGGGATGAGGTCCACCCCGGACTCCACCAGGTAACTGTTTGCCTGTTGGGGTAGAGTGAGAGATGAGAGAGAATAGTAATATCATCTCCTTCATAAATTTTGACTGAATATCTGATCATTGTTTCTGATTGTGCAGAGGAAGAAATAAAAATGGTTACAGAAATCAGCTACAATAACATCATTTTCTTTCACTTTTACCCCTAACCTGCAAACCTGCCTTAAACTTCAGCTAAGTCACAAACAAAAATTGACTGTCAATGACCTTTTATGAATCCCACTCCTACTTTTAGAACAGTGGTTCCCTAGGGGGTCGAGGAAGGTTAGCATGAGGGTTGCAAAGCCTTTTAGGAAAATATTGTAGACCAATTTCCTAGGCATCTGCCATGGTTATATTAAGAATATACTATGAAGTGTCTTTAACCCATAACCAACGGGGAAAATTAATAAAAAATGGGGAGAATGTTGTGCTCATTTTTATATTTTTGTGAAATGTCTTTGCACATAGATGGCTCTGCTAGTGCTTAGCCACAAATGAGTCAATTAGTAGATCTTATAATTACTATAATGTTATAAAAATTACTAATAGCACAATAAGATAATGCGAAATATTTTTGTAAATTAAAGAAAAGGGTAAACAGGTGAGACAGGCAGTACTCTTAATGGGCTCATTGGTGACTTAGTACAATTGTAGCCATCTATGTGTAAAAACAATTAAACAAATTAACTCTCAGTGGGCATGGCATGGCATGCCCATCGACAATGGATTAAGGAATATTGTATCATAACTGGCTAAACACAACCTGTGCATATTGGTTGGTGTTTTTTTACCAGGCTTAGAGCAAACTATATAGTTAGATTCTTTTTTTAATGAAATGAATGGTGCTAAGATGTCACAGAAGTGTTGGAGCTTTGAGAAGGCAAAAGAATACACTGCAATGATAACCTATCAGCAAATGGAATAAGAGAAGTAGCAACAATAGGAGACAGACTAAGGGCAGTACAGAATATCAGAAGACCATAGACAGCACATCAGCAGTTAAAAAGTATATACCTGATTGAGGAGAAAATCTCCCCCAAGAGGTGACTTCACAATGGCATGCTGCAGGACATATCCATCGTGAACGGGCACTGCAGATGTATGTGTGGCCCCAGAGTCAAGCACAAGCCCAGTAGACCTTCCATTGGCAAATGCTGCCAACACTGCAGATTTCACCAGGAAGAAAGCAGGTACCTGGTTGATAAAAGAGAATTTATAAACTATGGAAATATGTTACCATCAGGCATTCTATGGGGTGTCCTCAAAATGAATGAACACGAGCGAGGATAAAAATAAGGAAACATAATAATAGCAATACCAATTACAATTACTAACAGCAGCACTTGTAGTAGAATCTCTATTATTAAATAAAGTGATAATAACAATTTCATAAATGATGGTATAAATAGTAATAATAATAGTACTAATTATAAATCAATGAAAACATAATATATCACAGCTATATAGTTACTGTCACCTGAAATGCAAACACAATTATTTCTTGACAGCATACATTTACATTTTCTAACACATTGGATCCAGATGAATTTTGACCTGAAGATGAAATCCAGGAGGATTTTAAAAAGGTGTATTCTCTGAATAATCTCTGAATAAGAAATGAAGCAAGATTTTTTTTTCTTTCATCAATGCTTGCCTACTTATTATGATGTTCTATCATGTGATTCCAAAACTCTTAAAGCAATTATGATAGTTTCAACCAGTAATAAAAAATGGGGCAAGAATTCCTTTCCTTTCAATACTGTTTGTCTACTTATTATGATGTTCTATCAAGTCCTAAAACTTAAAGCAATGATGATAGCTTCAACTGGGATATCATCAAAAGTAGCAACAGAAAGCAGTAACTCCTTACCTGATATTTCTCAAAGAGCAATTCGCAAAGACGTTCTCTCTTGCCACGTGCATTCCACTGAAAATAAGAAACAGAGCCTTAGAAAATGCTTCCTGTTAATGTACCTGTCCAAACAAATGTCCACTAACCTACTTGGTTTAATATACCAAAAATTATTACATCAACTGATGTATATTTCATAAATAACAGTGCTAACCATGTAAAAACACACAATAAATTGTAAATAACATTTCAGCACCCTTCCTCCACACATGTATGTATTTGTCTTAAAACATAGTTGAACCAGACAAAATATCCATTTCAAAAACAAACTAATTCCCTGCATTTCTCCTTGGACAAACAGAAGAAAGTACAACTCAGGATGTAATCTGGCCAACTTAGTTCTTCCACAACAAAATATTAATGTTTTCATAGCTCTTCAAGCCATTGAAATCAACCATTTACCTATAGTTTCTATAGCTATCTAGAGCTTTTAGTAAATTTGTTTCACTCTCTAACACAAATCTAGTCATCTGCCAGGAACCATCAAAATCTAATCAATTCTATTCTGACATATTGGCAACCATCTAACATATCTACCTCTATCTGTCAGTAACCTTTCACATATTCATGTGTACAACCCATTCAGTAAATAAACAAACCAGACCAATTAGACAACCATGTTTTTTTTGGCAAATGAAATAAATAAATAAATAAATAAAAGAGAGAGGAAGACAATCTCTAGGATTAAGACAATACAAAATTGAGCTTCTATTAACATCTGACAAAATCCTTTCATCTCAAAAGGTTTCAGCAATTAAGAAGCAGAAGAAGAAGAAGAAGAAGAAGAAGAAGAAGAAGAAGAAGAAGAAGGAGAAGAAGAAGAGGTACAAGAAAATGTGCTTTAAATATGCTTTTCTTATGTACTAGGTTTGTATATGTATGCATGTATATAAATATATATGATTATATATGCACATGTACATGAATATATATAATGGATTTAATATGTCAGAATTAACAGCAGCATGGTTATCAAGCTATGGGTTGAAATTCTGGGCCTATGACCCTGCTAACTGAAGCTGAGGAAAAAGTCCATGTAAACTATATATCAAACTTAGATAAAAGAGACCATTCTGTGACTAAGTCAAATATGCTGCAAGCTGTAACACAGTTTAGAAGATGAAGAGAGTCATTGCATGATATGCATTTGAGTTATATATAATATATATAAATATAAATATAAATATAAAAAAAAATAATAAAATATAAAAAAATAATATAATAATATATATATATATATATATACATATATATAAATACATACACATATACATATCAATTTTGCAAATCTTATCTTAACAAAATATGAGATCTCGTAAACAAGAGTGAAGGTTCACATCAGCAGCTAGAGAGTGTCATGTTTTAGTGTGCAGCACCTTCCTCCTTATGGCAGGTGAATGATTTATGTGCTAAAATTTGCCTTTTGTACAAAACAATAGCCAATCACAGCATTATACATCTTGTTTACCATCAGGCAATGTGGCATGTAGGTTCCCTATAAAGAAGACCATAAAATGTAATCCAAGCATCACAGTAACATGACGTGAATGACCTGTCACCCTGAGCCGTGTCCAAGTTGGCCATGATGTGTACCCCACACCATCTATATGCTATGAGTTAATGGACCAGAACCAAAACAAAAATGGTGGAAACTTTTCCGTCAGAGGCATTCCCATCTGACTTTCTGAACCTCTGCATCACTAACTTTGACAAGATGACGGCTTTGCAGGTTCATTTCTAATGGAAAAGAAACAAAAGCTTCTCTGTAAATCTAGAAACTGAGGAGATTTTGCTCCCAATGACAGCAGAAGAAATTGTGATTTGGAGCATCCAAAGGCTCTTTTCAAGTGGCAATCATATCAGTTCCAATTTCAAAACAATATCTCATATTAAGGAATTAACCCTAGGATCCAAGTGACTTGGCAATTACACCATGAAAAAATTTGGCTGAAGTCTAGGTGACGGGAATATACAGTCCTGGAAAATTTTGACTTAGGGCTTGGTAATGGGATAATACTGTCCTGAAAATCTGGCTGAAGGCTGTGGAGACAGGAATGACAAGCAGCATAGTTCTTAGTGGGTATTTATGAAGGGGCTCATGTACTATTTTCACCAGTAAATGAGGAATGTACCATCTGTGAGCCAAGACTGGAAGAGTGCCATCGCCTGGGAGGACATTATTTCCATGGTCAAGATCTTATTCCTGCCCACCATCAACAATGAACTAGGGTGTATTACAGAAAGAAAGAAAAAAAACTTAAATGTCACTTACTGTTATTGCACCAAATTATAGACTAAATAGAGATGATATCATGTAAGGGTAACTGTATATTATCAACTTTGATATAGCATATTAGATGATAAATATAGACCTTAGGAAATGGAGAGAAAGAGAGAGTGAATGCTCAGCAGAAAAAGAGATATTGACAATGGAATGGGGAGGCAAGGAGTCTTGACAACCATGCAAGAATATTTGTGTGGACCAAGCCTACAATTCACACACCCAGCAAACCTGCCACTCAAGTAGGCCTAATGCCTGGGTTTTGGTCCATATGCAGGCTGTGAGGCAACTGGATTGAACTGGTTGACTGGACTGTCCCCAACAATAGGGGGTTTAGGGTGGCCAAATTATTGCAGGGTCCTAATGTATTGTTACATGTGAGAAAAAAACTACCCTACTATTGTTATACTATATCTGAGACTATTTCATGGTATAACAGGGGCATAAGCAACATCAGGTGACTTGGAATTTAAGTCTTAAATAGCCCTTTGAATATGTTTGTTACATATGCATAAAATGGCGACATTAGCTATAGATATAAAACCACAAATGTGCAAATAATGTTGTTACTAGAGATAGCAATGCATCTGAATGATACATGGTGAGTTATAAAGAAAGAAATATGGATAATTTTTGTGTGTGTATGTATGCCTGTCTGAGCAGGCACACACACCAAAAAAACTTCGATTGAGACCTATCTGTGATAATCAATTAGAATGTGTACCACAGATCAAGTCTGTAAATCAAAAAATAAAAGATTGCCATGCATCTTCCCTGAACAGGAGTGCAGGGAATGGCTCTCCCAAACAAGTCCCATTGCTGCAGCTATACACAATGCCATTATTTGAAGGTATGCACGTCCAAAGGGGGTCTCAGACAATTTGCATTTATTAAATATTTTGGATAGCTCCACTTTATGGTGCTAAAATCATGAGATAGAGAGCATTAACATGAATATATCAATATTTCTATTATAGATGACTGCTCAGACTGACAAAACATTAAATAAACATATTATAGGAAATTTGTCTGTAACCCCCTTTGGACATGTGTACCTTCATTTATAGACAACAGTTCATTGATGTCCAAGGAATGTTTATGTTACATAAAGTGAAACAGAACAACAAATAATTAATGATAACATGTAATAAAATAAAAAGGCTAATTCTTCCCCATTTAAGTGAGGTGAGGCTCCTACAGGAATGATTATATGGCACTGAAAAACCTATTTGTGCCAGGGTTATTGTTTGGTAATAGTATACATTAATGTTGAAATCAATCTGAATGAATTAGTGAGTGAAAAGTAAGGGAAAATTAATGTAAAATAATTTTAAAACTTTGTAGGCCTTTCAAGCCGAAGTGTTTTTTTATTTCACCTTTTCATCATATTTCAATACCCCCCCCCCAAGAAATAACTTCAAAATGAGCTTTTCACATTTTGAACTTTAGATTTTTTTTAAAAATAAATTCTTAACTGAACCCCACCCATTTCCCCAATTATGTTACATGCAATAATTCTGAGATTACACGGAATTTCCAAAATTGAACAAACAGTTCCCTTTATATGACATAAAAGTGTTTCCAGCGGAAGGAAGGAAGGAAGGAAGGGAGGGGAGAGGGAGGGAGGGAGAGAGAGAGAGGAGGGGGGGAGAGAGAGGGAGGGAGAGGGAGGGAGGGAGGGAGAGAGAGAGAGAGAGGAGGGAGGGAGGGAGAGAGAGAGAGAGGGAGGAGAGAGAGAGAGAGAGAGGAGGGAGGAGAGGAGGAGGAGAGAGAGAGAGAGAGAGAGAGAGAGAGAGAGAGAGAGAGAGAGAGATGGGGGTGGGGAAGAGGGGATGTGTAATAAGGTACTCTTCCTCCCTGCCAAAATTCATATCAATCTGTATGACCATCAAAAAAGTAATAATGATAAAATAAATAAACAAAATAGATTGCATGTTCTCCAGGAGGGTTCCCTAAACCCATTCGCCCCGGATTTATGTTCTGTACCCTGTAGTTTTTGGTGAATTTTGTTGCATACAGATGGCTCCACATGTACTCAGCGGGAAAATTAATACCATTGCTATCAATACTGTTATTATTGTTATTGATGTTCTGATTATTAAATTGTCAACAGAATATTTTAGACAATGAAATGATACAAAAAAAACCTTGCCTAAAGTGAAAGAAAATGGTAAACAGGTAAAATAGGTCGTTCTTGATAACTGGCTGTTTGGTGATTAAGAACTTGTGGAACCATCAATGTGTAAATACAATAAATAAACATGTATCAAAGTGGGCATGGCATCTATTCTTGCCACGTGGGGCGAATGGGTTAATAATAATAATAATAATAATAATAAAACAAATAACAACAACACCAATAATATTAATAATAATAATAATAATAATAATAATTGAATGAATCTTGTGGAATGCTGTGCAATATAATGAGGTTCTTGACATATTTTGGGTGTACTCATTGCAACTGTCAATAGCTTACAAACCACTGAACATCACTCCACACAAATTAAAGGCCAATCATAAAAAATAATAATAAATAAGTAAACAAAAATGCATCTCAATTGGTGACTCACTCACTCACACACACACTCACACACTCACTCTCTCTCTCACAATTCATCAAAATTCTACAAAAATATTCCATCAAAAAGGTGCAGGGTAACAAACATTAGCTTATCTTTAAATTCAAATCAGCTAGTAGTAGAAGAAGTACTTAAGGATATGGAAGAAATGATATAAGAAGAAAGAAAGTATCAATTTGTAATAACTACAGAAATACAACATAGTTTACTGTGTACACTAAAACTGCAATGACTGCAACAAAACAATTATAGTTTGCAACTCTGAAAGCAGATTTTTAAACAAGCTAGTCCCATGTATGCAATAATATCTACAATGTTTATGGCAATTCTTTCTCCTTGGTAAGACAAGCTAACGAACATGAACACACAACAGCACTAACATATACAGTGTCGAAAAAGGTAGACTCACCGGGGCCTCAGAGAAGAGGATGGGATGGTACTGAGGCTCACTCTTGATGCACTTTTCATACGAGTAGTCTAGAACCTTCTCAAAGGTGTCCCAGTCTTCGATCATTCCATCCTTCATGTAATTGCTCACTTCACATCCTGGATTTTGGAAGAGGGTAGAAAGTCTAAAAGAAGTTCTGCTTATTATTGGAAGATATATACTTTATTCTTATTTTTTCTTCTTTTCTCATGACATCCAATGACATATCAAAGAAAACAAAAGTTTGAGAAATCTGAGTAAGTGTATGTATGCTTATATATCAAATCTGGAGCTATATTTGGATACAGATACACATTCAAACATAAAAAGGGGTATATATTAAGCAAGCTAACTGGCATAATAAGAAAGAAACCCAAAGAAGAAGAAGAAGAAGAAGACAAAGAAGAAAAATAAGGACAATACCTATTTGTAAAATAATCACTATTTACTATCCACACTACTTTACCTTTTCTAGGCACATGGAGAGCAACTGTGTCGATAAAATATTTCTTCTCATTGGTCTCTTGGTTTTCTGTCACCCCGACACAGGAAGGAATGTCAAATTTTGGTGAATCCTCGCCAGCATAGCCGACGCGCAGGGAGGAGAAGCCTGGGTCGAACACCAAGGCCCCTACCTCATCTGTAAGAAATAAGCCAATGAGAAAACAGCAGATATTGTAAAAAAGCATACTATAAAAAGTATGCAATTTTACTGCATATTGTATAAAGATAACTGTCCCCATGTAAATCTGGTAGTTATAATCAGAACCCTGAAATGTACCAGAATATTAAACCATAAATCTATTAGAATTATTACAATATGCATATGATTTTCTATGGAGAGAGGAGGTACTTTTATCTAGTGCTAGAATCATTCCTGATTGAATGGATCTAATCATAAAACATTAACCAGTGTTTCTCACATATACCAATTACTAGCCTATATCAAAATGTAACATGTCCAGTATGCCTGAGCTCTCAGTACAGTGCATTATAGATCATCAGATCTATAATGCAGCCAATTAAATAGGCAACTTAATATCAACTAGCCACCTATTTTCTGCCTATTTATGGTTGAGGATGTGAAGAAAGGTTACAGGGGCCGCACACCAGCTTTGATATCATGGATTCATATATTTCACTTCCTTTCATTTTTTATATATATTGAGAAACTGAATAAAATAAATTTGACGAAATTAGTTTTCTTTTGGAAAGAATGAAAGAAGAAAAAAATCTGGAAGGTCATTCTCTTACCCACATGTTGCCAGGGATAATGCAGTGCTCATTTTTTATTATTTTGTGAAATGTCTCTGCACATAGATGGCCTTATTTATTTTCACCTTTCCTAGAATTGGTGTAAAAAATGTATTTTTTACTAATGCTTTGGATATCAATGGTGTTAATTTTATAATAAACATTATAATTACTATAAAGTTATAAACCTTAGTAACAGCAAAATAGGATAATGTAAAATATTTTGGTAAATAAAGGAAAAGTGTAAACGGGTGAGACAGGCAGTACTCACAATTGGGTCATTGGTGACTTAGTACAAGTGTAGCCATCTATGTGTAAAAACAATTAATAAAATAAACTCACAGTGGGCATGACATGTACATACATGCCATGCCTGTCAGCTTTGGGTTAATCCCTTACTGACAGGCCACGCCTACCAGTGTCATAACAAACCGCTCGGTCTTCGGGGTAGCAGACTCCTGTGCCAAAGCCTGCTCATTGCCAGTAATCTCCAGAATGTAAATTTTTTTTATTTATTTTCTTCACCCATCAGCGTTGGGTTGAAATACCTTTACTCTTACCCTAGCTCCCCATCAGTAAGAAATGTTTTCCCACTGATTTTACACCAAATCAAAGTGTTTTGAGCTGGGCATTTGGCTTGATATAGCAAACTTCTGTGCTCAAAGCTGGCTCGTTGCCATTGACCCCTTCCCAACGGGTCACACCGTGAGGCGTCAAAACAAATTGCTTGATCTGTGGTGTGCGGCTGTATGCCACGGCGGCATGCAAAAGCGTTATGAGCTGATGATTCAGCTTGATGTACTGAACTCCTGTGCTCAAAGTCGGCGCATTGCCATTGATCTCCAAAGCGTAGAGTTTTTTTTAAAATTTCTTCACCTGTCATCAAGGAGTTAATCTCCAGAGTGTAAATTTTTATTTATTTTTCTTCATCCGGTAGAAACAGGTTAAAAGGTGCAGTCATTAGTGCAAGAAATAATCAGCAAACACGAATAGTAACGCCACAAATAAAGAAGAAAGATCATGGAAAGTGTCACTAATAGCCAAAGTCCAGTTGGTGCTCCTGAGTTTCAGCGCTATCTTGCTGCGCATACCAAGGTTATGGCATCTAACTGTTGAATATATTTTGTGATGTGGAATTTGGGACTTTGTCTCAAGTGAGTGCATCTATACTGTAAAGAATTACTCATACTTCATCCTCTAAAGCTCTGTCTAATAATTTGGCTGGGTGCTTTCTTGATTTCACATTGCTTCCTCTCAGTGCTGAGGAGTAAATTGGAGTTCCAATGGAAGTACATAAAAGATAAGTTTCTTAGAATTAATTGTTCTGTCACACGCATACATTTTTATCCAATTTAAAGATGGCTGGTTGAAAATTTACCCTTACCTTCAGTACCTAATACCTTACTAATTACATGCTACTGACTCCATGGACTTTAAGACACAGGCCTAACCAAGAAAAAAATCCTTATAACCAAAACTTTTCTTCAAACCATCCCGTCTTCCTTGCTACAAAGGCCTATACCATAACTACTGATACTTTCATAGACGAAAACTACGACACATGCACATTAAAAACCACAAGGAATTTACTAATACATATCAAAACTCTTCGTATTGGTGACACAGAACTTTGGCGAATGAATACTAAGACACATCGAGCGCATGAAATAAGGCCCTTAAAGCCTCCCTCTCCCGTTCCATGACAGACCCTTGTTTTGAACCCGGGACAGGAACTTTACACATTTTCTCCTCTCACATCAAAAGTACACACATTTCACGAATTAAACAACCCTTTCTATAATCCCCCCTACTTTGTGAAAGGACGACACCCACTCACCTCCGCCGTAGACGCCGCCACTCATGATAAAAAGGGAAAATTCTCTTCGGCGGCTTGGCTTCAGGCGGCGTTGTTTGGGTGTGCGGCCAAGGGCGTGCACCTTGCCAATGGCACATCTTAGAGTTTTATGCTTTATGTGATGTTATTTTGCAGGTGATAAATACAAGGGTTGTTTATATTAAGTTACTCATTACAGGGAGTAGGTTATAATTCTATGATATTGTTTTATGATGGTACATTCATAGGTATCGATTTACTCTCACTCAGAATATCAGACAAGCAAATAATATACCACTATTACAAGAATATATACAATTCCAAAACAATCAACATACCAAAATGACAGGATGGTCTCTAAAGTCTAAAATAAAGCCTCGCCCCCGGAATAGGGAAGATGCACACCCGCCCTCTCTTTCGTAAACAAAAGTCGCAAGAGGAAAAGGAGGAGAAGGTCTCTTTTTCTTCGTTAAATGGGGATTTTACGCCGTTTTACGAAATAAGTGAGTGATTTCCTACTCTCTTTTGGTTGTATGAGAGGGAAGAGAAGTGTTTTATAAAGTGAAGTTCGGGGGAGGATTAGCCGAAAGGAATTGAGAGTTGGCGTGTGGGAGGACTGACAGACGTGCTTTGGGATTTGGAGGAAGTGATAGTTAATTAAAGGTTTATTCTCTCGGTTGTCCGCGTTTGTTTGTTCTCTCGATTGTCCGTGGGTGTTCTGGACATGTTATCGCGAACAGTGAGATGTTAAGGTAGTAGAAAAGTAACAGGAGGTAATTGTGAAATGGGTGAAAGAACAAATTGGTTTGACCGTTAATTACACCAAGATGTAAGTGGGATATTATAGGGTAAGCAGCTAATTCACCTTGTTATTGACAGATCATAGAGCAAGGAATAAAATTGGCACCAATAGCTATGATTTCTGTAATCTTTTACATAGTTTTCATTTAGAAGGTTGTCTGACATTTCACTCCAAATATGTAATTTTCTGGAATAGAGATGGATAACTGATTGCGATGATTTTGATATCAGGGTATTTCCCTCGCCCTCTAGTACAGACGTATGTAGGAATTATGCCACGGAACCCCCCAAGTCCCCACATTCTTGGCCCCGATAGCAAGGGCCAGTCTGAGAAGCATGTCCATTCCCAACAAGATCTTGCACGTGCAGAACCATTAGACGCGCGTGCGCATGCGTGCAGCTCCTAGAAGTAGGAGTAGAGTTAAAGTCGAAAAATTCCAATGAAACATTTTGTAAAAGCATAAAAGTACTAATGTTTTTAAAATATCAAGTCATAGGTTGACATGCATCAATCATCTTCTATTTTTGAGTTCCGACGGGTATAGAGAATGTAGCCCTGAGTAAGTTTCGCTCCGTTTTTAGGGTTGATGTAGGCATATAATGAACCTTAGATTTCGTCTTGTGCGTGCAGTGGCCATACTCGTCAGACTGGAGTAAGGGAGAGCATGAGAGGTATGAGGGAAAGTGCGGGGTAAATATGAAGAATGTATACAGATTCAGTCATTATATTGTCTTATACAAAGGGCTGCTGCACCCCAACCCCCACCTAGGAAAACAAAGAATCCATATTAATGGCGGGGTAAAGTGCATGACCGACATGCAGGAGCCCAGGGTGGATTCTGTGTAAACTCACGCCAGAGGTACGCCAATAGCTCATCGAATGTATGCCAACGTTCTTGATAAGAGTAATTTTTCATAAAGTATGATGCTTAGTGGAATCACATTGTCTCAAAAACTCCAAGACAAGGCAGCACTTTTGAAAACTATGGAAGTGATTAAAAACAGCCGCAAGGAGTGTAGGGGGAGGGAGGGAGTGTGTGCGTTGTAAAGGAATTTAACAAACGACTATGTATAAGTGCATTGTGTTCAACTTAAAAGCTTGAAAAAAACAGTAAAGATAAAAAAGCATGCTCCAAAATTTTTCCATTTCATTGCGCCAGTACGCCAAAGAATATAATTTAGGCTAAATCCATGCTGCCACACCGACAGGAAAGCTAACTCCATGCTGGAGATGAGATGCATGAAATGCACCCTGGGCAGGAGCACCTTACACTGATCCTGTTCCATGTTTCACCCTACCATGAATACGTGGAGGATTATTTTTTTCCTGGCCAGGAATTATGGCCTCCACTTGTTATCAGGGCCAGGAATGTGGGGGTTTGGGGGGGGGGATCCATGGTATAATTTTGGATAGGAGAGAGTGAGAGGCATCCATTGATATCAGAATTGTTGTGATTGGTCATATAATGCTTTTCCAGAAAAACACCAAAAAAAAACTTTTTTTCTGAAAGCTTGTGTTTTGAATGAATCTAGTACTCATAATTTGCAAACGTAGCAAACCTACGATATTGGCCAAGATATCTTGGGAGGGCATGATAAGCATCAGGGAAATTATGGGGTCAAATTGAATTTTCAAAGTAAAACTTATTAAGTTAATGGGAGTCATATTCATAATAAATAGGGGCTTTTACCCCCTAAACCCCCTTTGAAGGAGGGCTACAAATCCCCACCCACCCCTTGCTTGGTCTGTAAAATCTTCACCTCATATGTTCTTGTAGGATAGAGCCTAGGCAAGTATGCTTTAATGACACATTGAGGGTAAATAGGGAGGCTTTGCCCCCAATCCCCCTTCCAAGGGAGGCTGCTGCCCCCCTCTACCCTTACCTAGAACCCGGGCAAATATCTGGATTTTGTACCAGTAATATCTTACCTTAACCAGTAAATCTGCAATGGCCAGCCTGCGAGTTGTCAAAATTCTCATTGTTGCTATTGGCAGGAATTTCAACCAGTATCCACTTCTCATTTTCATTATTGCTGGGAATTGCAACCACTATCCACTATTCGTTATTGTCATGATATTTTGCATATTAAAGGCAAAACATCACTTTATACATGGCCTAGCCATGTATGGAACTGACTTGAATATCAGCTGACTTCCCTTGGGTCCATTTTCCATTGTCATGTGATTATCTATTACAAATCTTATTGGCTCTAATAGACTGGTTGCTTGTGTCTGTTGTCACATCATGGCCAGGTGCACTTCTCATTTGATTTCCCCTGCTTATGTCATTCACTACAATCCTGTCTTATTGTTTCATTGCTTCCTTGCTTTTGCATATTTTTTTCTTGCTACAGAAAGAGTATGTATCATGAAGTGCCTGGAATTTTTGTTAGGCAACATTTCCAATAATACCCAAATTTGTTTTCAGTGGATTTCTCATGAAGTCTGTTGTGTATTTAAAGAGGGCTAGGTTGATTGGCAGAGGTTAGAAAAGGTGATTTTATATTTTCTTATCCTTGTTCAAGTGGCAGGCCTGATGAGTGATGTCATGACCTAGTTGCAGCAAAAGTTGTTCTTACTTACTGATTCCACTGACTTTGATAGGAATCCATTGTTCCCAAATTTGAGCTTAGACACCAGGTATGTATGAATCATGTGGGTAAATGTTTATGGTATGGATGTACTAAGCTACGGCAAATTGAAAATTATATTCTAGTAGAGGACAAAAATTTGAAGTTGTTGGTAAAAGAAATAATCTGCAAACAAGAATGGTGATGCCACAAATAAAGGCTGCTCACAGCCTAAAATATGAATGGTGATGCCACAAATAAAGGCTGCTCACAGCCTAAAATATGAATGGTGATGCCACAAATAAAGGCTGCTCACAGCCTAAAATATGAATGGTGATGCCACAAATAAAGGCTGCTCACAGCCTAAAATATGAATGGTGATGCCACAAATAAAGGCTGCTCACAGCCTAAAATATGAATGGTGATGCCAAAAATAAAGGCTGCTCACAGCCAAAATTCACTTAAAGCTTCCAAGTTTCAAGTTTTGTGACATGGGATTGTAATATAATCAATTACCAACTTGCAGTGAAGAGATCCCATTTATGAATAAAATAATATGATTCAAATGGGAAAGTATTCTATATCCAATATACATTTATGTTTTTCTATTATTACCTGTGAGATGAAGTGTGAGAACTGAAAGGTTATCAGCTGTAAACTAATCTTATGATGTGTTATTAATTATTAGTTTGTACACTTCACATGATGAACAGGAACTGACATAACCATGTTTTGCAATCTAGCATTCATTGTAACTGCCATCAAAAATGTAAAATTTGCATGAAGATATCCAAAGCTGTGTTTATTGACTTATATGTATGAGAATCATGTTCTTATTCATCTACCAAAATTTCCTGGCATTTTAGACAACTTAAAAAAACAAAATTGCACAGCCAATCTACTGTAGACTATCTTGACCCATTGGATCTGGATGTTCCACCACCATCATGTGACCCAAAATATGGTCATTAGCTTTACTTGAGTGGCCACCCTGACGAGTACAGCTTGTATGCTGGGTGCACACAAACACTCGTGTGCAATGACAAAACTCCATCATGCTTCCCCTTTGCTATATTATTTTCTCTTTTCCTGCATAAGCATTTTTTTTTTTTTTTAAAGGCTGCTCACAGCCAAAATTCACTTAAAGTTTCCAAGTTTCAAGTTTTGTGACATGGGATTGTAATATAATAAATTACCAACTTGCAGTGAAGAGATCCCATTTATGAATAAAATAATATGATTCAAAGGGGAAAGTATTCTATATCCAATATACATTTGTTTTTCTATTATTACCTGTGAGATGAAGTGTGAGAACTGAAAGGTTATCAGCTGTAAACTAATCTTATGATGTGTTATTCATTATTAGTTTGTACACTTCACATGATGAACAGGAACTGACATAACCATGTTTTGCAATCTAGCATTCATTGTAACTGCCATCAAAGATGTAAAATTTGCATGAAGATATCCAAAGCAGTGTTTATTGACTTATATGTATGAGAATCATGTTCTTATTCATCTACCAAAATTTCCTGGCATTTTAGACAACTTAAAAAAACAAAATTGCACAGCCAGTCTACTGTAGACTACCTTGACCCTTTGGATCTGGATGTTCCACCACCATCATGTGACCCAAAATATGGTCATTAGCTTTACTTGAGTGGCCACCCTGACGAGTACAGCTTGTATGCTGGGTGCACACAAACACTCGTGTGCAATGA